CCATTTTCAAAATGTTGGCTGTTCCTATCTATGAGCAAGGAATATCTTTCCATTTTCTGAAACCCTTTTTGATCTCCAAAAGGAGAATTAAGATGTGTCTGCACATTACCAATTCTCCAGGAGGAATGTGATCACTGTATACTGCAAACAAGGACTAATAAAAAATAAAACTGAAAAAAAAAAAAAAAAAAAGCAATGGCAAGAACCAGCCAGAAAGGAACATTTTAGAGCTTGTGAACAGGCAGCATAAACGAAACAACGGCAGTGACGGAGAGTCAGAAGATGAAAAGGGAGAGGGGACAGAAGGTGAAAGGGCAAGAACTGTAGTCTTAGGAAACATCAAATTTCTTTCTTTTTTTTAACGTAAAGAATGAAATGCTACAGGGCTGGGGATTTAGCTCAGCGGCACAGCACCTGCCTGGCAAGCACGAGGTTGTGAGTTCAATTCCCGGTACCAGAAAAAAAAAAAAAAAAAGAAAGAAATGCTACAGATTGGATAAGCCAAAAAAAAAGTAGAGCTAACATAATGAAAAAGGTAAGAGAGGAGAATGCTCAAAGAACAGGCACATGTACCTTCCTTTAAAAAAGCTACGCTCCACTGTTCACTTCTACCATGAAGTCAGAGTTGTTACCTGGTTATAAAGAGAGATCACACGTAATGCTCAATGACCAAGTGGGAAATGAACAAACGCAATGACCATGGGAATGGGGGCCACTGGGAGTCTGAGGCGGGCTGCATGTGAAGAGCAGACAGGACAAATGTGAGGAGGAAGGAGAGGGTCCAAGCTCTCCCCGAAAGGCAACACACAGAGCAGCACAGGGAATAGCCAAGGCATGGGCAGGAACCCCTCCGTTTTAGAACTGGACTCTAGTAACCTGGGAGGGGCGCGGCAGAAGAGGAGCTGGCGTGAAGGAAGCGACCAGATTCCAGGAGCCTCCCGCAGAGCGGGGAGGCGGGACGAGAGGCACAGAATCTGTTGTGGTTGCCACATCTACGGAAAAAACCTCTCTCCAAATACAGAGAGCCCAATAAAGTCCCAATTAAGATTTTGCGATAAAAAGGCATATTGAATGCACTGCATGTTGGCAGTGGAACATAAACTTTTAAAGGCAAAGACACCCTGAATGTGAAGTGGAAGGAAATCTGTGAAAAATATGGGTAGTCAGTCAGAAAGAAAAACATGAAGAGTTCCTAACACGGGGCATTGCAATCCGAGGGCACGGACTGGACACGGAAGGCCGGTGTGGACGCACAATTTGTCAGCTGCTTCAAGGACCACAAACCAGCAGCGCTTTGGAGGGCAAGAAATGACACCCCAGCCAGGACGCCAGTGCAGGCACAGGGGGAACGCGGGAGGCCTCAGAGACAGTCGCAGCTCAGCCGAGAACAGCAAAGCACGTTCAGCGACCAGGAGGAGGGGGAGCAGGGCGGCACACGCTCTGTGGGCCCCAGCACCACTTTGGATGCCGTGAAGACGGTGAAGGTCACGTGCTGAACCAAGCCCAGACCCCTGTCCAGGAGCACCAGCGGCCCTGCAGCCTTCAGCAGGACAGCGGCCCTGCAGCACTTTGGTTTCGCCCCCTGAGGCTTTCAGACAGGTCAGTAACTGAACTGTATGAAAATAAACTTGTGCTCTAAGCTGTCCTACCATCCACTTTCCAATCACGGGGACAAAATACCCAACACCTGAAAATTAAGGAGGAGACATTTACCGGGCTCACGGTTTCTACCGCTTCAGTCAATGGCCAACTGGCACCAAGGCAGAAAAAGCAAGAGGGCTCACAGAGGGGCTGATAGAGGGCAGCTGGGATGGGGGAGGTGACAGAGAGGGAGAGAGAAGAGACAGGAGGCCGGGCAAGAAACGGCCTCTTGGGCCACACCCTGCAAGTCACGCTTCCCACCAGGGACACCTCCTCACAGCACATCGCTGTGAACTCGTCACCGCGTGAAGCCATGCACGACACAGTGCCTCAACCTGCCACCTGCCCAGGGCCCCACAGCTGAATGTGGGAGGCTTTGGGGACATCTCAGGGGTGAACTACAACCTTCTGCCTGATCCATGTCATACGTAGGAACAATGGGATCAATCCGTGTTGTGTGAAGCCACCAAATTTGTGTCCATTTTTAACAGCAGCCACAGGAAACAAACAATCCTGTGGAAGGGTTGTTGTCTCCCCCAGTCACTGCAACAATGCTCCCCTCCGCATCTGTCCTCCTGCCCTTCAAAAACTGCCTTCAAAGGACTCAATCCGTACTTTTTCATTCTTAGGGAGAATGAGTATTTTTTATTCAGAAGTCAAGGTCATTAATGGTTTTTGAATTTCTTATTCAGGCTCTTTTCCCATTTTTGTAGTTTGTCTTTTTTTATTAATTAGCCAGAGTTTTGTACTTTAATGTCATATATTTCAGAAATATTATCAGCATATTAAAATATGCTAATGTACTAACTGAAATTCCTTACCAACCACTTGGAAACAAAGTCTCAAGGGAAACACATTCAGCCACTCCACAGCAGGGCCTACGTGTCCACAAGCCAGGACGGAGGCCGCTTCCTCACACCCAGCCGTTTCTGACACACAGAGTGCGCCTGCCGTCAGTATTTTCCTGTGCGCCGTGAAGCTTGCACATAAAGTGAAAGGCTACCAGTAAGCATTAAATCCACATTTTCCAGCTGAAAAATAAGCTACAGCCAAGGGCCCGGCCTGGCTGCCAGCTACAGCTGCTGCAGAAACAGGCAGCCAGCAGCCAGGCTCTGAGGAAGCGAAACACAGCTGTAGTCTCAACCGCAAAGGGCAGGATGAGCTCCAGGGTGACAAGTGCGCTGCTGGAGCATCGCTCCAAATGAACTGGAAAGCAGACGTTCCTCACTCCCTTTCTTCATCCCTGTTCTTCTCAGATAAACGACGAGCACAGAGAACACAACGTTCTAGTGTGGAAACAGGTTTGAATATGGTCTAATATGACTCCTGTTTTAAAGTGAATATAATATTAAGAGTTTTTGACACTATAACAAGGCATATTTTAAGTGATAGTCTTGATACTGAATCAACATATTTTGTGGGTAGTAAGTTATTTTAGGCAAAATGCATTCAGAAAATAGCCATAACCAGGGCCCTGAAATGTTACGGGATAGGACGCACACTTGGTCATGCCCCTTACGCCTGCCAACGCCATTATCAATAGAAAACTGAAGAGTTGTAACTATTAAGGTAGTGCCTTCAATATGTAAACAAGTATCAATGTTTTAAGAAGGATGATTTTGACTTGTCTTGTTTCTTGACCTGTTTTTTAAAGTTAGAGGCAAGTGAAAGCACCTCAGGAGCAAAATTACTGATAATTTTACATATTATACACCAACAAGTGCAATTTGTTTCAATGCTCTTAAAGAAAAATTAGCTGAACACTGAAGACACAAGTTATACTGGTTTTATTATTTTTAATTAATCTCAATTGTGATTTAAAAGCAAAGAAAATAGGAACATCTTTTCTAGATAGACTGTTCACACAATAATTGTCTGTTACTCTACAGTAACAAGAAAATATGTCTAATAAATAAAATGTCTGTCTGTTAATGTTTTCCTCCTTTTATTTTTAAAATAAAAAATAATAATACTAATCAATTATTATCATTCTATTAATCATTAGCAATTAAAAATTATAAACATGAAACGAATTTTTCTTGTTTTTCCCTTTTGGTAACTTCAAGAAAGTTTTATGACTTATGGAAAATAACAGACCAATATAGTATAACAATCAATTATAGGTAACTAGCATAATACTAGATTAAAAAAGTAGGGGCTGGGGATTTAGCTCAGCGGCAAAAGCGCCTGCCTGGCAAGCGCAAGGTCGTGAGTTCGGTTCCTGGTACCGGAGAAAAACCAAAAAAAAAAAAAAAAAGTAAAGTACAAATTATTAACTTTTACTAGATATATTAGATAGTCACCTCAATGAAGAGATTGGGTAATTTAAAAAATTAATCTTAAAATATTAGTAATAATAGTTATACATAAAATAACTTGCCCTATTAAAAAATATTTAAATCACAACTCTGAATAAACATAACATGGTGAATAAATCATTAGCATATAAGCATTTGTTTTACCAACTGAAAGTATGCCATACTTAAGAAGGAAATATATTTTATTGTAAAAGGTGAATTTAGGAAGAGGAATCAAACCCTTCAAAGCTAAAACATAGTAAGTCTGTTCTTCACAGAGACTGTACTCTTTCCATTACATAAGTTTATTACACTTAAATTACTAGAGATCTGCCCAGCAACAAGGTGTAACGTCTAAGGGTTGGTTTTGTCTGAATAGCATATTTACAATTAATGGATTTGTCTGTCATCTGTAAGGATGGAACTGCAAGAGGCAAAGCTGCTGGCAAGTAGCAGCTGAACTCTGCAGAATCCAGCCCTCACTGCAGGCAGCTGGGCCACAGCCAGCTGGACTCCTCCAACGGAGTCTGCCCTGTCCCTGGCCGGTGGCCTCCATCAATCTCACCACGTCACAAAGCAACATCTGCAATGTGAGGCACCTTGCAGCCGTATAGGTAATAGAAGAGTCTGGGTTCCAAGGAACATACACCTACAGAACAGTAACTCTTTCCATCACACGCCGCCCACGCTCTGGAGACAGACCACACCTGCACAGTCACACAGGCGAGGTCTTCATGAAACGCAGAGCGCAGGAACGCGCATTCTATCAAGCACCTGAAATTAGTCTCCCACACACAGGTACCGACATGCAGATGAATTAAGAAGAAACTGTATTTTCTAAGAGATAATACTTTCATTCTTTCAATTTTTTTTTTTTTCCCGGTACTGGGAATCGAACTCACGACCTTGCGCTTGCCAGGCAGGTACTTTGCCATGAGCTAAATCCCCAGCCCCCATTCTTTCAATTTTTGAAGAACATAAATTTCTATTCCTGGAAGAAAAACTAAAAACATCACTATCTTTAAAAATTACTCTTTGAAACACAGTCCAGTATTTACTTACCTCGTTGAGCAGCAAATGCCTGACTAGCGGAAAGGACTTTTGGATTATACCTTGTTCCCTCTGGAAAAATCACAAGGTACATCTGTGGGACATAAAGAAAACCCAGTTTGTTTTGGTGTGTGCTTTGTTGTTGTTACTGTTCTAAACTGATCAATGCTAATCCTATTAATGTTAAAACAGTATTTCCTAGGACTGGAGAAATGTATGTAATCTTCATTTCAAGCAGAGCAAACAAAATGCAAAACTTTAGTAAGTCTGACGACAACATGGACTATACTCAAAATGTACCCACTGTAGTTCAGTGACTAGGAATCTAGAAGCATTTCTAATGTCATGCTCACAGTCACGAGTTAAAAACTTGGTCATGAAATGCTCACCTATAATCAGTAAACAGCCTTTCTCCTCTAAGACCCAGCAGCATTTTCTTCTTTTACCTTTCTTGGTAATATTGGAGACTGAACCCTTGTCATTTTTATTTTGAGACAGGGTCCCACAAAATCGCCCAGGCTGGCCTTGAACTTGTGATCGTTCTGCCTCAGCCTCCCACGTAGTTGGGCAAAAAGGGCTCCCACAGGGGATGTGGGGTTCTGGGGCCTCTTCTGAGTAGGGTGTCGAAGAACGGATGCCCCTGTTCCAGCTCAGGGGCCAGTGCGGGAAAGCCCAATGATATTCGATTACAAACAAATCCAACTATGCACGGAAGTTTACTTTGTGTACACACAAATCCCTTATCCGCTACCTTCACTGAAGGAACCAGAGATCCTATTCTCTGTTGTCATGATCGCCATAGTTTTAAAAATTCAATATTCTTTATTCAAGATGTGCCACACCTTTCTGTAGTACCATTTGAAACATAGATGCTTCAGTCTTTAGCAATAACATAGGTATTTACATTAAAAACCTATTTTAAAACTAAAGATTATTCAAGTTATAACCAACTATTGAATTGATAACTTGCTATTAAAAACAGCCTTTTTTCTATGTACTGGAGTCTCTCTTCCTTCTTCCCTTCCTTCTTTCCGTCTTTCCTTCCTTCCTTCCTTCCCTCCTTCCTTCGTGTGGTACTAGGGTTGAATCCAGGGCCTATGTGCTGAACTACATGTCCAGTTCTTTTAATTTTTTTTATTTTGAGACCAAGCATGTTTAAGTTGCTAAGCTGCCCAGGCTAGCTTCAACCTACTGTAGTGATTATCCTGCCTCAGCTTTCCAGAGTGCTAGGATTACAGGCATGTACCATGGGGCCCACCTACCTAACTTTATGTGTGTGTGTGTGTGTGTGTGGCGGGGGGGGGTACTGGAGATGGATACCAGAGCCTTCACACTGAGCTACATCCCAAGCCCTTTTTATGTTTCTATTGCAGATATGCTCTCACAGGAGACGCCGGGAGGACCACGGCCCCAATGACAGCATGGCTTGAGTCCAGAGACACCCATCCTGGACTGACCTTCAGAAATGGTAAGGTTAACACCTCTGCTATTTTTAGCCGGCACTCATGGAAATTTGTTACAGCACCAACATTAAATTCTAAATTTAAGCCCTACCACCATATTAAATAGTAGTCACTAAAAGAGTTAGCATATAAGGAAGCAAAGCTTGGAAAGGTTAAGTAACTTGTGCAAAGTACCAAGGTTTAAGCAGCAGATCTAGGATTTAAAGCCAAATCTGATTTCACAGGATTATCAGATAATCCGATTCCAAGAGCCTCCCTCTCATTTAAAAGAAATTTAAAGGTCAGAAGAAAATTATAGTTTCCAACCTGCCACATAAATTTTTATACTGAATTCTAACTGAAGGACTTCTACAGTGAAGCCGTCCTTTTGGTTACAAACACGTTCCATCTGCATCTACCAGTAAGCACCTTTTGGAGATGCATTTCTTAGTCATTTATAATACAAGTGCACTTTAAAAAACAAACTCTGAAGTTGCAATCCTAATACTGAGTAAGGATGCCTGTAGTCATGGAGTAGATTCCTATGGAACATACTGAACCATATGGAAACCGACTGATAAATATATACTACCAAGTCAGTTCTTCATTAACTTTCAGAAACAAGAGTCTAACAAGCAGGCAATAATCTCTGCTTGTATGGGCCTTAAATGTTAAAAAAATGAAACGACCATCCCGATTCTAAAGGCGTGAATCCGGAGCCCTCCGCCTCGCTCCCTGCGCCCGCGGCCTCTGGTGCCACCCACACCGTGCCGGGAACACGAAAAGCTGCGCCTGCCTTTAAAAGCACCCGACGCTCCGTCTAAAATGAGGTGACAGCTGGCTCGGGGAGTTTTCTGATAAGAAAGTCTGTTCAAACGGGTGTCTCTTCTTGTGATCACCCAAGGGCAGAGGCGGCAGGAGGCGGGCGGGAGGCAAGACCTGCACGTGCGCACGGAGCCTCGGCCGCGGGCCACAGGCGTGCGGCCCCGCAGTCGCGGTGGCTGCAGCCGCTGCGCACTAGGCCACCGGTCACCGCACCGCAGGTGGCTACCGCTGCGCTGCGGAGGCGTTTCCCGCCTCTTTCGGCACACGTTCTTCACATGGACGCGGGGACTCTTTTTTTCTTGAGTAAAATTTTGTAAAATAACGTTCCCATTGAAGGATTTTTTCATTTGTATTTATTCATCCTTTTTTGTTTCTTCAAACAACTCAGTGTATACAAGAAATCCAAATTTACACTTGACAGAAAACAGTTGCTTCCTTTCAGAAAGGAACCTGATGCAGAGGTCAGGCGCATGTGGGGCGCGGGCAGCAGGCCGAGGCTCCCGGCTGGGGCGTCCTCGCCGCAGACCCGGCGCGGAGTACACACCCCTCATTCCCGGCCGCGGTGGAAGCCGTCTGCAGGAAGCTCCAGGCGCTCGCCCGAGCAGAAGCGCTCCCCCCCAACAAGAGGGCTTCTACTGCCTCAGCAAAGCCTCACTTACTTATCACGTGTGGGAAGTCACTTTCAAAGCAACTCTTGCACTCTAAGTTCTGAAATCACAAAGCAGGCCCTCTTACCGGCGTCCCCGCGCTCACGTAGCTCTGCAGCGTGTCCCTCATTTTGCCCTCGTTGAACTTGGCACTTCGCTTCACATAGATTCCTCCGTGCTGGACAGAGAAAAATTGAAAGGACGAAACATTTATCCTTAAAATAAGCAATGGCTACAGGTGTCAGAAAGGCCACTTTCCTCCCAAAGAACGAAGCATTTAACTCCATTTCAGAGTTTATGCTCTATTCAGCATGTTCAAATATTTGCACCAAAACAATACGTACCTGAAATCTATCAATGTAAAATTCAAAATAAAAATGCTTTATTTCTTAAAAATATAACCTCTAAACTAAAACTTGATCAGACAGATCCCAATTCCCAAATCTTCCACTGACTTCTTATAGAATCACCAAAAGTATCCTTAAAATGCCAACACTCACGACCTTCAGGGATTTAAACATCTGACCGGTTACAGGTATTTATGTGGCCCCACATGGACTGCATTTTTCTCACCCAAAGGCACACACTCAAGCTGGGCTTCCTCAGTAACTGTGCCTCAAAGGAGGCCAGGAAGGTTGGGTGCGCGTGGGCATGGAGGTGCGGGTGCCGGTGGGGGGGCAGCAGCCTTCTAGGAAGAGCGCTGACTCGGGGACATGCATGCTCGCCGGAACGAGGCCCTGCGGTGAGGAAAGGCCCGGCGGAGAAACCGGCCTCCCAGACACCTGATGTACGAAAGCACATTTCCTCATGCTAAGCGTATGACAGCTCACTGCTTTGTTTTGTCTTTTATGGGTCACAAAATACTTTTATCATTTGTTTCTTAAGGTGACTATTGAATTCTATGCTTTTAAGGTTCCTATTTGACATTTCAACATTTTAATTTTTGCTATTTCATTTAACTATACGGATAATCACATACTACATAAACACTCTGTTAAAAAATAACAAGCCAGGTATGGTGGTACAAGCCTATAATCCCAGCACTCGGGAGGCTGAGGCAGGAAGGCCACTGCAAATCTGGGGCCAGCTTGGGCTATATAGTGAGTTCAAGGCCAACCTGAACTCCATAGTGAGATATTATCTCAAAAAACAAAAAATATGAATAATAACAATTCAATTTAGAATATAACTACTTAAAAACCATACATGTGGCCTAGGATGTAGCTCTGTGGTAGAGCATTTACTTGGCATGCATAATAAGGCTCAATCCCAGTAATTTTAAAACAATGTGAAAAAAAATCCTCGTAAGTTAATATTAAGGACATATTGAATTTTAAAATATAAAATTGCTATAAATTGATGCATAAATAACCTTGGCACTTGGGAGGCTGAGGCAGAAGGATCACAAGTTCGAGGCCAACTTACAGAGCGAGATCCTGTCAAATAGATAAAATAAATCTAACACATTAAAAAGCAGAGAAACAGGTTACCTGAGAAAAGTAATACCCATACAGCGGAAGCCACTTCAAGCGGTCTTTCAGCACGTAGCGCACGTGCCCCACAGCGTTCTGCCGCATGGCCAGGATGTCAGCAACAATCCAGTCCACTGCAGAGAGAGCCCGATTAGACTCACGCCTGCAGTCCACCCGGCACTCCCTTCACAGAACAGAACAAAATTCTCCAGCTTTTAAGAAATATTCTGACTAGAATTTCAAAATTATTTTAAATCAATCCCAGATACTTAAAAACTTGAACTGTGGGGGTGTTTTTTTTATCATACTTCAAAAAGCTTTTGTTTCAAAAACAAAACACAGAAGTCACAAAATACCAAGTAATCAAACAGCAGTACTTACAAACAAGAAGAGATTCTTTAGTTAATATTAGAAAACAAAGTTTTTAATGAAAAAGGGGACATTATAAGCAAAGGCCTAAAGGAAACGATGACATACAACTAAATACTCTGTACAGAGACGCTAACCAACAGGTAAGGTCCCTCATCATCACCAACGAGCTTCCGGCACAGTGCTAGGTGCTAACAAGGAGGGTGCATGCTCCGTACACACCAAAAGCCACGGACTCAGGCTGCTACCGACTCCGTCAGACAGCAGCTAGACAGGTGCGGTACTGCCACCGGGGGCAGGAATCAGGACGAGGCTTGAGTGCGCTGGTAACAGCAGTGACAGAAACTTCCTACAAGCTGCTATTTAAGCTTCCAGCAGGAGGAATTCTCAACAGAGGAAGTGGGCCTTTCCACAGCAGAGACAGTAAGGGGTGCAGAAGACAGCACGCGAGAAGGCCGCGCACAGACTGGGAGGAAGGGAGTGGAAGAGGACATGGAGCGAGGTGTCCTGAGGACGGAAGAAGCGTCCATTTCACCTTCTGATGAGAATGCAAATGTCAAAGTGAACGATGAGGAAGACTCCTGTGCTGTTCACAGACGAGTTCAAGGAGTGAGACTTACAAAGAAAAGGTTCAGAATCTGTGGAAGGAGTTGGCCCTAGCATTCCAACCGGATTCAGGCCATTACAGAGTGAAAATCATGAGAAATCCTTTAGAGAACACACTCACGACATAGGCTGTCCCAAAGAGCTGGCCTCTTAAACACTGAAAATTAACCTCCTAGAAAAATATCTCACCAAGTTTTACAAACTTCTTTTTAATTAGGGGTTATCACTAGGGTTAAGTTTTTCTTGGTAACTTATGGCTTATAATTATGACATATGTATAAGTTTTGCTAAAGCTCCTCCAAGCGCAGCGATGCCTACAATGCCTCCCCCACCCTGCACGACCCCTGGCAACGGCGTCCACTGCTCAGAGACACCTGCCTCCCTGGCCTACCGCTCCGCATTTCTCTAGAGCAAGAACAGCAGTGCTGAACCTATGGCACGCACGCCACAGCAGGCTGTTTGTATCACTGGCAACTCTGCAAGTTTCGCCATCGCTGGACAGAACTTCCCACAGAAGCCCTGTCGTTAGCCCCTTCAGATGTAGAGCCAAAAAATGATTGCTGAAAAACACAACTGTTTGTAATCAGATCTGAAAAGCATCTAAGCAAGTCCACTATCACTGTACCTAATGTAACCGTAGACTACAAAGAAACTAATTCTCCGTGGTTCTGCAGAGTTCTCAGGCAAAAGTACATCCTGGTCCATATGTGGATTTGACATCTTTCCCTGCGTGAACTTTTTCTAAGTTTGGGCAATAATAAATGTATTTCTATATTGAAACAATCATGTGTGTATGATGTTCTCAGAGGCACCTTCCAAGAACTGTCAAGAGAAAGCGTAAAATTTCCAAAATATGACATGTTCATAATGAACTATTCTGACCTACGCCCCTAAACTTGAAAGTTTTGGTGGGAACATTTGAGAACTAACTTAAGCAGTCCAAAGGCACAAGCTTGGTGCCACTGATACTTGCTACTGAATTACCCTCCTCACTGTCCCTGTGTACACTCTGCTGGATTCACACAGGTGATGCGAGGTCACAACCCAGAGGGAGGTGCACTGCTCTGCAAGGGGTGCAGAGTGCGGAGCGGCTGCGCAGCGCTCAGGCAGAGCAGGGCCCTGCTCCCGGTAACGCAAGGAGCGGCTGCAGCGAGGAGAGGCAGTGGGCTTTCCTGCCTCGTCGCTATCACCTCGTAGCACCAGGTCCCATTCACACAGGCCTGACACAGACTACAGAGACACTACCACCACCGTGCACGGTGCCCAAAGCCCAGCCAGTGGGCACTGCTCGCACCTCACCAAAGAGGTTCCCACAGGTCAGTTCACGAGCCAGCAGCGGCAGAACAGCACGGGAACCAGGTCCCCAGCACCACGGCCACGCGTCTTAGGCTGCTCACCACACACGCTGTCAGACAAGAGGACTGCACCTAGACCCGGGAAGGGAAGTGCTCATCAGCCTAAAGAGCAGAAAGCGGCTGCACCTCTGCCAACTCTGGAGAGACGCCAGCAGAAGCGAGCGGTGTGGAAACAGCAGGGACGTGCCAAGCATGACACAGGCTGACCTCAAGGCCGGTCTACCGGAGCAGCAGGCCGGCAAGCTCACGCATTCCGCAGGCCGCACGGAGCGGCAGCCACAAAGCCGAAGCTGAACAGCTCTTCCTGAAACGTTCTCTGTGCCAGTGCACCGTCACACGCACTCCACCGTGATTCCCAGAATCTCCAAAAGCTTTGGCAAAAGGTAACCTGGTCACGAAGGCAGTGGGTACCTAGGGCCCTGAAACTACGGGCCATTTTCCTGGGAGCATTTTTCTGGGCAAAGGCTCTCTTTGACATAACGACTGAATCCTGCAGTGCAAAAGCACTCAGGCGCTCAGCTACGTCCCCAAGTGGTGGATTTTTGAAAGGCATCCAGAAAGCAGCCTTCCCGAGCCCCGAAGGCTGGCTGGTTCAGGACCCAGTGTCGGAGCCCGGGGAAGAGTCCCGGGTACTTGTGGTCTGGGAGGGGAGCCAGCGGCTCACTGCAGAGACCCAGAGGTACAGCAGGGAGCATGGCCCGGAACGGAGCTCACACGCTTCCCGCGCTTCCTTCAAGTCCCAGGCCTGAGACTGGAGATGTCCCAAGCCCGACATGCGACTGAACCCAGAGCCTGTGCCCCACCTTCTTCTGAGACAGGGTCTCATTAAGTCACTAAGTGACCCAGGCTGGGCTCAAACTTGTGAGCCTCCCCAAGCACTGGCACTGTGACCATGCCCAGCTTAGAGAACGGTTTAATCCGCGGTTTCCTCGCAAGCGTTTTCCCAGCGTCTTCACTCTGAAGTGATCTACGTAAAAGCCGACACAGAGGAGGCACGCAAATGCCAGGTGTTTTATTACTGACATTACTCCCACCGCCTCCAGGAATACCCGAAGGATTTACTGCCTCTGTAGGTGCTAGGACCATAGCTCTGTCAAGAGAACAATATTCCCATTAAAACCCGGAAAAGGAAAAGCTGGCAGGAAACTGAACAAGGAATTTTAAGAGTCCTTTAGTCCTTTTAGAAAAAATTCTGAATTGACATAGAACTAACCACTGTGTCATGTAGGGGAATCGAAGCTATGCTGAGCCGCTCCCTGCCCAAGGCCCACAAAGCCCTCTTCTTTGATATGTAAACGCTGGTAGAAATTTTCCCGGCAGCCATACAACAGGAGAGGCCCACACTTCCGCACAGGCCAAGGTCAGGAGCAGACACTCACACGGCCTCAAGTCAAACATAATCAGATCAATAGTTGGAGCCATGCATTAATAAAGTTGAGGGAAACACAGGGTACGGTACAATTTTTATCAGCCCAGTAAAGGCAGCTCTTCCCTTGTGAATCTGAATATGATCATTAGGACACACAATTGAGAAAAACACCTTTCACCTTCTACTGCCTATACTAACAAATGGTATAGGTAGTAAGAAAGCAACAAAATCACGAAGAGAAGCTAAAAGAAGGAAATAAAGGGCAGCCACAGGCACACGGTTTTCCATTAGGTGTGTCAGGCTGTTTTTAAGACTTTACTTGAACCAATGTCACTTAATTTCTGAACTATGTTATACTTACGGAAGATGTCACTATTGGACGCAACTAGGTGAAGGGTCATGAGATTCCGTGCGCTATTATTACCAATTACTAACGATATTTAGACACACTGTCTTTTTTTTTTTTCAAGTGCCTTAACTGAAGTCTCCTTGAGAGGAGTCTCCTGTGATTCCTCTGGCAGAAGAAGGGCAAGTGGGACCGAACCCAGACATCTGCCCAGGTAAAAGGCACTGGAGACGAGGCGGCCGAGGACAGAACACAGCTGGCCACAGCTCCACAGTCAAAAGTATACAACACATCAATGTCGTGACTCACCAGTGCTGCGGCAGAAACACAACTTATACGAGGCACGGATAGACCAAAGAGCTATTCAAAGTAAAGAGGAAAAAGTAAAAAAATAGCTTATTTGCACCCAGCATAGGGACACGTTTAGAAAAACAGCTTTCATGTTACTGACCGTCTAAAAAGTGAAATCACAAAAGTATAAGGACAGGCGTAAAATCTGCACAGAAAATTCATGTTTTAACAACTACAAAAAATCCACTTCATTTAAATATATGAAAATAATTTTTGAATGCCCATGTACCCTTTGCAAAAAGCTAAGTTTCATGCAAATGAAATACAAACCTGTGCTGCGATGATTTGCTAAATAGATTATATTTTCTTTATTTTTCGGCAGATCTCCATATAGCAATATCTAAAAGACAAAAAGAAACATTACTTTGATATTTTAAGATATACTATAATATACAAAATAAGACAATATGAAGAAATTTACAAATGCACAGTGAAGTAAATACTATATAGCTATCCAAGACAAAAATTAAATTTCTCTTAGGAGCCTCACAGGTAACAAACAGCTCGTATTTACCAAGTAGTTAAATATAAAGGAAGGTTAATGGTCATAGCGTAAAAGAAAACGATCAATATCCTCAAGAGAAAACCCCACAAACAGTTATTGATTGCTAACAATATATAAAACTTCATACATCTTCCTTCACATCGCCTACAATTCACCGACACGTAAAGACCTGTCATGAGACACAGCAGTACGAGCACACAGCACTCTGCGCCTTGACAGTTACACTGCAGAGCCGGCGCATTCCCAGGGGACTTCAGTGCAGCCCAGAAAGGGAAAGGCTCACAAACATGAGACCAAGCAGCAGCAGCAGTGCCCGAGTCCTGCTCAGCGCAGGAGCGGCGCACAGCCAGCACTCAGGCCGAGGGGCCCGAGAGCTCGCAGCCAGTACCCCGGGAAAGGCCTGGAACCGTGCTGTGTGAGACCAGGGAAACGCTCCAGGACTGGGCCTCCACACCTGCACCAAGAGCAGAGGGCATCCAGAAGGCCACTCCCTGTGCCGTGCACAGTGGACTCCCTGGAGACTTCTGCTTCTCAGGTCAGGTTGCATTTCTCAGGCCGGTGGTGCGGACAAGGATCACTGAATCAGTCAACCTTAAATATTCCATGATAAACTAATGAAAGAAACTGGAACGCACTTAAAGACCTCAGCGGAACGAAGGCTAACTGGCTGTGATCTGTTTTAATTCAGGGCATTCTGGGTTCTGTACCTTGTCATCACGGACTGTGCTCAATTATGAATTAGCTAAAGCTTTTTAGATTTGTCTTGTCCACTGGGATTATCATTTGATGACAAAACATTAATTTCTTAACAAAAGAAAGAGAACAACAGTAACCCAACATCTCTGCAGAAAAATGCACCTTAGGGATGATATAAAGCTCTGCACCCAGGGACTCAGACTAGGTTTCTGTAACCTTCCTTAGAAAAACTGCACAGTGCGATGTCCGTAATGTTTCAATATGCGCCAGGTTATTTTAAATAAAGCTCATCAGTGGTCTAAATAAAGTGGGTAAATCCAATACTTTGGTCTGTGTAAATTAAAGTTGGGCTCCAACTTACAAGCAACCCCCGTGCTCTTAGCCATGTGTCAGCTGTGCCTCAGAACTACTGGGTACAGACCGGGTGCAGCATATATGCAGCAGGTTATTTAGGGTCGACTTTCCCCCACAGGAGCCACAAGATTCTTTGGAGACATGCTTGACCTTGAACTGAAGGAAACACACGCCTGATCACAAGCCGAATGGGATGGCTGAACCGAGACTGCTTTCCATTCATTCACTCATTCATTCATTTCAGAGATTGGTAGGTGATACACTTTGATGACAAACTATTAAAAGGCAGTTTTCACACAATTATAGTACCAAGTGTAGAAAATATAGCATTTCAATATGTCTTTTATAAAGCTAAAAATATTTTATTTTAAAATTCAAAAAAGCATGGTGAGGGTAGAGAGGGAAACACAAAAATAAGCACAATCATTTAACGTCACAGTAAAACAATGCCACATGGTGGACACACTCAATATGGCCCAACCCTAACACTTACGTAGACCGGAGGATAAGAAAAACCAAGTTCCCTGTTCAAAACCCATGACCAGCTAATGGCATTGCTAGCTCATAATACTTCACATCCCTACTCTTGAGTTTAGCCCACTTACTGTACCACTATGCTGGCCTTAAAATGTCACAATTTTATACTTTAGTTTTTGGAAAGGATAAATCTAAAAGCTGTGGGAAAAAACCATTTCTTCCTACTTAAGCCAATGAATTTCTCTTAATGTCAAAGCACACAATGTTCAACAAATACATCAACACAGCAAATGTCCTACAATACATTTAAAAGCCCCCTCAAAAATAAACAAAAGTAAAAAAGCCATCTCTTCAACCCCTTTAAGACTGTAAGATACACTGATTTGCCCACCTTGAACTGGCTTCCAAACAACTGCTATTTTGAATATAATACCGCGTTTGATTAGCTCAACAACAAAGTTAAACTTGGTCAGTATTTATGGACCTTCAGCAATGTCTACAGAAAGTATAAATAGTGAACTTAATTGGTACAAGGGGTGGGGATGGAGTTCCACTGCTCGGTCACAGAGAGGAACAGAAGTGCCACGCAGAACTTAATGCACAGCCCTGGGGAGATGCTAATGTCCACCCCATGGAGACAAATGTAAGAAAGAGACCAATGTGTGTGTGCACACCCACACGTGTGCTTCCAGAACTGTCTTACCCATAGACCAAGTAGAGCGGGGAAAGAAATGTTACTTCCAACTGAAATGCAAAAGACAGCAATAAACTTCTGAGAAAACACAACTCAGGACCCCAAGGGAGAGAAGTGGTAGACAGCCTCTTCCCCACGTTTCTCCATGCACCATGGAAGCACAAACCCAGTTTGGAATCCAACAGAAGGAAGACGGAAGAACGCAGGGTGGCCCTTCATATTTAAAGTGTTAGAAGACCTGGGAGCAAATTCAGTGAAAATGGAAAACTGTAAACATTAATGTAACAGTCGGAAGTCACCACCAACTACTTCGAATGCACACTAACGAACCAAAGAAAGGAATACCTAAGTAAGATGTTTACACATCAAACACACAGGTTTTAAAATCCTTTATTTCTGAAGTTCCAAAGATGAACAAGTAAATTTGTTCTCTAAAATGGATCAGATTTCTTCCACTTGTTAGTTGAAGCAGAAAGGTTATGTGCTGAATTATGAATTCATAATAATAATGTGGTGGAGAAGAAAAAGATCCCATTCTAAGAATGAAGATTTTCAAAATACTAAATAAGCTAGCTCTGTCCTATTACCCAGTATGGGGATAATGAGATGACTATAGTTCTCAAAATTAAACAAAAAGTTCTTAAGAACTTATAAAAATTTCACACATACAAATTATTAAATGATTAAGTGATTAGTGATAGACGCCCTCACTGTATGAGCTCTAGGTCCGCTCTCCCTCACCAAGCTCCCCTCCTTGCTGCAGCCTCTCCATCTGCCAACCCAGCCCCAGAATGGAGCAGTCGACTCCCTCTGCACCAGGGACAGCGAGCTCCCACTGTGTGTGTGCATGCGTGCGCATGTGTGGAGACCAGCCTTATGCGCAGGTCACATCCCCTCGTGGCTGGTCCAGGAGCTCCAGCGGCGATGTTGCCATGGGCACTTGAGTCATTCTGTTTGTATGTTTATCTTCTAGTGGGTAAAGCTATACCTCATGCCTGGGATAAATGTTTTAACAATGTACCAGTGACTTTTCAAACGCATCAATCTGTATTTCAAACTATGTTTGTCACTGTGCATGCATGTGCATGCATGTGTGTGGTGTGTGGTGTATGTGTATGTGTACGTGTACGTGTGTGTGTGTGTGTGTGTGTGTGTGTGTGTGTGTGTGTGTGTGTCTGTACTGGAGACTGAACCCAGGGCTTCCCACATACTGGGCAAGTTCTCTACCACTGACCTACTTTCTCAGCCCTTTTTAATTTTAGCCTAGACTGGCCTCAAGTTTCAATCCTCCTGCCTCAGCCTCCAGAGTAGCTGGGAGTATAGGCATGTTCCACCATACCCAGCACGTTAGCACATCATCATTTTTATAAATGCATTTTACAGGTAATTTGTTCCTTTGAAACATGTATATGAAAACAAGGCTTTTTTGTTATTATAATTCATAACTTTTTTCACAATTGTTGAACTTAGGTGCATCCATTTTTTAAAAGATAAGTCTCTTTAAAGAGTAGTATTTTTTCACATAATTAACTCAGAGGCAGACAATAACTGCTTTTTGAATACTTACCTTCATGCCAACTGGCACATTGGTTATTATCCTGCTTCAGTCAACCATGTTTATCTTCACAGACTGGCTTTCCTGAGAAGGCTTGGAGTAAGTGTAAATTACTTCCACCTCTCTTGGATCACCCCTTTCCACTGTTTTTTATTGGCTCCATAGCATGTGAACCACTCAGGGATTCTCCCTGTTATACCCCGAGGGACACAAATATACAAAAACTACTTGCTTTCCCCAAAACTACATCTCCACTTAATAGGTACATTTACCTTCCATGTGGGAAACTTGAAACACTGCCCCTAGATATGTCCCCTAATATGAAAGAGTGCAATATGCACTCCAAACTATGCCCATTATCCTGCATAGAAATCGTTACTAAAGGCAACCCAGAAACAAACAAGCTCTGCTCCCACCCCTCCGTAAGAAAATGAACACCCACAAAATGTGTATGCCTTTTTCTGTAATCAGACTTCCACGGTCTCACTCACAAGCCTCCGTCACTCCACCTAGAAGGGAGGAAAAGGCCCTCCTCCCCTACACTGCAACACAGGCGTCACTAAGTGCACAGGGCAGACTTGGATTTGGAAACCAGTCATCGCCTTACAATGAGAACTGGATCATGAGTAACCTTTCCACACCCCATCTCATTACCTATGAGTGTAGAAACGGTAGCCACTTTCACAGGACTGGGCAAAATCAGGAAGACTCTATCAAGTACAGTGGTACCTCAGTTCATGAAAGCTTTTGTTTGCAAACAATTGGATTTGCAAACACAAGTGTTTGGCAAAACTGTTTGCAAACTCTGCACAGGGTAACAAACATAATCGCGGCCATCTTTCCCATACAAACACAAACATGGTCACCTTTTCCAATACCATAGAGCAAATTAAATTCATGAACTGAACTGGGGATATAGCCTAGCAACACAGTGCCCGCCTGGCAAGCGCAAGGTCGTGAGTTTGACTCTTGGTACCAAAAAAGTAAATAAATAAATAAGATAAATTCATGAACTGAGGTGCCACTGTACTTCACACAATTCCTAAAACATAGTAAGCA